ACACACACACACACACACACACACACACACACACTAGTCTGTTAAAGGTGAGAGGCTTGCTTGTGAGGTTTGCAGATTGCCATATAAGTAAGTTCTAGATTTTCAGAGTCTGAAACTTCCTGGAAACTTGTGTGAGGCAGCAGGAATTTTTACCTTATTTCCTGAGTTCTAGGTCTTGTTTTTCCAGGATTACACCAAGCTCATTCTTGCCTCAGGCCCTTCACGCCTGTTTTTTTCTCTGTTTGACAAGTTTGACCCCAGATTTAGACAAGGCTGCCTCTTTGCCTCGGGTCTGTACTGAAACACGGCTCAGGTATTTTGTGCTCACCTAAACAGCTCCCTTTCCCAGCACACACACACCATCACTGTCTGTCCTGGCCCTGCACAGTTATTTTATGGCACCTCACAGTATATGTTTATTTATTTATGTGTTTAGTATCTATCATTAGGTGACACTGCAGTATGTTTTATTTATGTGCTTATCTCTTTCTCTAGAATGTAACCTCAATGTAAAAAGAAAATTGGATTTGTTCGCCTCTGTATTTCCAATGCCTGCCACACAGTGAGCCCTAAATAGTGGGGAGTTAGGAGAGCAGATGTGTTGCACTCACAGTAAGGGGATTTCAGACATTCGGGCCAATCTTGCCTTGAAACCCAGGCCACATTCTGAGATCGTGGCAGGGAATCTACTTTTGAACATGTTCCATTCAACCTACATGAAGTTGATGACTTATGACTAAGGCAACAACGCTTCCTCCAGGAAGCTTCACAGTTGCTTCCCATGGAAGCTTCAGTCAAACCCAGGAGTGACATTCCCATGGTCTGAGGTGGAGTAGGGTTGAATAATTCAACTCAGCTGGAACAAGGTCAAGGTCAGATAGTTAATGTCACCAGCCATTTATACTTCTTAGTTTTCAGAACTCCAGGATTTTACAACTTTTGCCATCCTGGACAATCACCACAAAAACACTTTTAAATAAAAGCAACAATAATAAAACAAACCAAAACAAATAAAACTGAAAAGAAATACAAAATATGAAAAACAACATTATTTAGATAAACAGCAGGATTGTTCATCAGCACCTGAATGGGTCTAAAGGGCATTATGCTGAGTGAATGAAGCCACTCACAGAGCTGCACACGCTGTGTGATTCTAGTTCTACAAGACTCCTAAAGTGAGAGAATTACAGAGGTGTAGAACGGGTTGGCAGCTGCCAGGAGTCAGGCACATTTGTGCATGGAAGGCAGGACATAAGGAAGATCTTTGTGGTAATGGGAGTTTTGTATCCTGGTTTTAGTGGCAAGTCTGCACATATGATAAAATGAGACATATTTTACCAATTTCGGTTTCCTGCTTTGACAGTGTACTATAATTATATAACTATGTAGGATGTAAACATTGGGTGAAGAGTACATGGGACCTCTACTATTTTGTAAATTTCTGTGTATCTATAACTCCTTTAAAATGAAGAGTTCTGAAGACAACACTGTTAATGTGATATGACGTTAAGAATGTTTATACAGCACTTTACATTCAAAGTCATATTTAGTCTCTCAGAGGTCACTGTCTTGTAACCAGCAAACTATATTTCCTTCGAATACTGCCAGCCTGTTTCCTGATTTATTCTTCTGCCTTTCTCAGGCTGACATCTCTAGGAAGTTTCCATAAAAGGTAGCAATTTTGACAACTTATAAAGCTCGATATAAAAGGACTTCTCATTGTATTAACATTTTAGTTAAGGTGAGCAGAGAACTGTAACAAGATGAGAGGCTTAGTTCTGCTGGATAAACTTCCTCTTGTAGAGGAATCTGTGGCAGATCAAAAGTAGAATTCTTCCCAAACTACATTAATTCAGAACAGAATTAGGATTGAGAGAGAGGATATTTAACTGAGATTTAATTTCCTGCCTTGAATTTAAAAGGTCAGAGCTCTGGAGTTCCAGAATCTTAACAAGTGTGCATAAAGTAAAACAGTCCTACAAGATCTACAGGTTTCATCCCTTACTCATAGGGATATGCATGTGTTTATGTGAGCAGCCTCTATAGTAGAAACAATCAACGTTCATGCAACACGCAAATAGTAAGATACAGGTGCACTCAAAGCTACTAATTGAATACCATCAGGATAGAGTTTGGTGAGAGAGGGTTGTCAACTTTAAAGATTCTATAATCTAGTTGAGGAAAAAATAGCATACCAGAAACTACTACATTACATGGCAGAAAATTTAATTAATGCTACAATCAAGTTGTATGGTGCTCTGAGAGCACAGAAAGTCAAAGATTAATTTCCCTGGGAGAGACTGAGCAAGGCTTGATGTAGAAGACAGCGTTGGCCAGGTTCTACATGGGGTGGGCAGGATTTCAAGAGGCCAACTGTGGACTGGGAGAGCAGATAAGAGTATTCTGGGGAACGGCACGGGGAAAAGTTCAGAGGCAGGCTAGTCTAGCAGGCTGGAACAATTTCAATTTGGATGGACCAGATGGCCTGTGAGAGGAAAAAATAAAGGATGGTGGTTGGCTCAGGTTGTGCAGGACAGCCAATGCTGCCATGACTCGCTGACTGCTCTAATAGTGGTCATGAAAACCACTAGTGTGGTCAGGGCTAGGTGACCAAAGGAGTCTGTGAGTTATCAAGGGTCCTCCTGTGCTTGGATGTGGCTCTCTTCATTAAAAGTACACACCTCAAGGCAAGTTGCATGGATTTGTCCCCTATAGATATTTCAAGAAATGATTTGAATAGATTTTATAATGACCACCTAAAGCTAACAATCATTAATAAAATCCTGAAGACCAAGCAGTTTCACATTAGGGAAGACATGACTCCAACTGTTCTGTGTTTTGCTTGCGACATCTGAGTTTCAGCTGAACTCATGGTTTCCTGACTATTTTGCTTTGGTTCTTTGAATCCCACTTGCCCTGAACATTAAGGGGATTCCATTCATCATCTTTGCTAGTACAGTTCACCTTGAATAAACACTTCTCTTATTCAGTCTGGCCTCTAAGACCCAACAACTTGGCTCCATTACTGAAAGTGTAGATACTAAAACATTATCATTGGTGTTGACAGACATGAAGGACATATATAAGCTTGGATAACCTGAGATGCATGACTATCTAATCCTTAGCAAAGTCCTGACGTTTACAGTGTGACTATTTAAATGAGAGTCCCCTAACCAGCAGATGAAGATCTGTGGGAAGATCAGGAGCCTTACTGGTAATTCTTCACGCTAGCTGCCACAGACATACGGTTGGGATGGGACACTGCCTACCACATACACACACCCCTCCAACATTTCACTGGCAGCATCTCCCTTACATACATCTCACCATGTAATGTCAAAGTGTCTAGTAAGTAAACAACAATTATTTTACACTGGGCTGAGGAGACGTAGTATACCTGTGGCAAGCAGTGCGTGCAAATTCTATCACAAGGCTGAAATACTACTACCTGGGTAAGAATAAGATGGAAGAAAGTGGTAGAGTAAAAAGAGCTTTGAGGTGGGACAACTCTGGGTTCCAAACCTAAATCTGTTCCTTGCATTGTGACATTGGAATACTGTCTTTCTGACTGTCCATTTCCTCATAGTAAAATGGGGATAGTGGTACTCACCTCCCAAAGTTGTGAGAGTTGAATGAGGTGACAGACATAAAAGGCCTAGTTCAGTGTCTGGCTGTAGTAGCTCTTGATCATCACAGTTTTATAATCACTGATAATAACAATATTAATGCTAAAACAGGCTCAAAAATATATTGAAATAAAACTTTAGTCTTTTATTGTATTCTAGTTTGGAAATGTTCACAAGTAGGTTTTCAAGCTAAAAATGTTCAATTACTGCTTTTTCAAGAAGAACATTATTCAGAAAATAAACTCACTTCAGTTGAACAATGATGAGACACTAAGACCTACAACACACCTTCATTTGTGCCTATCACAGTCCACTAGGCACTCAGTCGGAAACATCAGAGGCAAATATATCAACCAGGGTGTTAAATTTAGGCACACTCTAAAATTCAAATACAGCCTTTCTAAGAAGAAATCTGGTTTAGGTTCTAATTTTCAGTTCAGGTTTGCCTAGTTATATGTCTTAGGGAACTTACTTCACAATTCCGTTTCATTTATAAAAACCAGAATGTTCAAATATACTCTATTTCTTACTAAAAAAAGATGAGGCAATGCCTTTGCACGACTCCAGGGGGCACCATTCACCTCCTAGTCTTTATAGATTTACATGTTGTTATGATAGTTTTCCAGAAGATGGCTGTAAGCAGTTTAAAAAAAAAACAAAATTTAACAGTAAATTTGAAGATCTAATTGGCTTTATTAAGCAATTCATTAATTAGGCAGCAGCCCATTTAGTAACAAGAAGGGCTCTCTGAGGGGTTGTACAAAATGGAAGGCTTTTATAGAAAGAAGGGTGGGGCAAGGGAGCTATTAACAAAAGAAAAGAATGGATTAATTTTAGACCAGGGCATCTTTTGAGGGGGAGTGAACAAGGGTTTTTATCATGTAGAGTGCCTCTTCTTTCTATGGGGATGGCCCACAGGACAGTTTACCTCATTGGTGTTGACTAGAAAATTCCAGATTGGTTGGTGAAGAATATATTTCTAGGGAGAAGTTAAGACAGCAATTAGGTCAGGTATTAAATCTAGGCTTGGTATCATGGGCTTTAACACAAGTGATGCTATTTTGAGCCTGTGGTTTTCTCTTTAACAGCGTATGCTCATGGAAGAAGATGCTAGTATATGTGCTATTGATGGAACTGGTGTCCCTGTCTGAGCAAACACAAGTGTCAATGAAGAGTTAACATCTCAGCATTGATCCTCGTGTCATGAAAAGTTCTAGACTATTGTGGCTTCTGTGAGGAATCTGGGAACCTCTGGCTCTCCTGGCTCCAACACTAACTCCCTGTGTCGGCGTGGGGTTCACAGTGTGGGGATTAGTGTTGGAGTTCACATCCTGGAGTCTCAGTTCCCTTGAGTGTGAATTACGGGAGTTGAGGGCACATGATTTTTTTGAGATATTTCTCTAATACAACTGAAAGACTCTATGGACTCTCCCTCTCCTCCTTCCAGGAAATCTTTAAGAATCAGATGCATAGTATTATTTGAAGACTGTAGAAAAACAAAAACATTTACCCAGAGAGAGAGAGAGAGATGTAATGAAATACATCAAAATAGTAATAGCAGTGATCTCGGAATGGTTTGGGACTCCGGATGATTTTTTGTTGTTAATCTTTACCCGAAGATATTTTTTCCATTGATTTTTAGAGAGGATGGAAGGGAGGGAGGGGAGAGAGGAAGAGAAACATCGATGTGAGAGAGACACATCCATCCATTGGTTGCCTCCTGCAGGCCCCCTGACCAGGGCTGGGAATGGAACCCGAGACCCTTTGGTGTGTGGGCTGACACTCTAACAGCTGAGCCACACGGGCCAGGGCTATGGATGATTTTTTAAAATTTCTTTTACTTTTTTATTAGCATTTAATTATTTTTATAACTACTTTTATAATGAAAAAAATCATAAACTTAAAAAACTGTTGATAGGATACTAAACAAACAACAGCAACAACAAAAAAACAAGGACATATGAACTTGTCCAGAACACAGCAGGTTCTCAAATAAGGTAGTTTCACTCAACACTGTTTCATTATAACATTGAAGAGATGCCTCAGAAACTTAACTCTTGTTTACATCAACAGCCTATGGTAATTGGTTTCATTATACAGCGTTTCACTTAAAAGTCAAGAACCTATCAACCATGTTAAGAGAGGACTTAACTGTAATTAAAACTTTAATCTACGAACAATTTCTGGTTCAACCCAGTGTCTCGGGAATTCAGTGAGTCTATTTTTTTAAAGACTCAGAATGTCATGTTTCTAGTACGAATAACAGTCCTACTCCAAGTGTTTCATGAGCTTTATGCTGTGGAAACATTTGTGTTTTAAAATTCTAAAGGATGTCGCTTTGTGACATCTGATATGCTACACATTAATCTAAGTCTTGATAAGTGAAGGCAAATTTGATTTCCTTCCAAATAGAACATGTGGAAATGTATATTATTTCTCCTTTGGAATACAGGATCACTTAGAATATAAATGACTACATTGAAAGGAAGCTTACCTGTTGGAAACACATTTTCAGCTTTCTGTTTGTCTGCTCTGGGCATTGCTCCAGCTGTTTTCGTAAATTGTAATAAAACAGGATATTAACTTTTAGAGAATCAGCTGTCTACAACAGTTACAACATGCAATATCTAGTATAAAAGAAGCATCAAAGCCTAGAACTGGCCAATGCCGATACAGTGGGTCTTTTAAGCCTGGGCCTAATTAAATTAATTCACTAAGGTGCACCTCGCCTCATTCCAAAAAATGATTAAGGCAGTCCACGTAATTAATACAGTATGGTTAAAAAAATTGCAAAGAACAAAATCAAGGTGAAGGAAAAGTCAATGATAAACAACAAATATTCAAAGCGATGTCAAGAAGGTAGTGGAGTCCTGATTTCTTGGATGGGACACTACAGAAATAGACCGAGGGGGGGGGAAGGGGGTCAGTGGCATATAGGGTGGGGTTTGAAGCCAGAGACTAGTTGAGGTCACCTAGAAGCACCTTTCAATAGACAGGAGGTGGTATTTCAGGAGCGAATCCTCAGATATACCAACATAAAAACCAAATAGAGAAGGGGCTGCTGGCAAACACAGGAGGGAGGCAAGAACGTGAGAAGAGTGCTGTTATGGAAGCTACAGGAAGAAGATGCTTGGAGCAGGAGAAAGTGGTCGACCAGACTGAAGGCCTCTGAGAGGCCAGGTAAGGGGCTGCCTACTGCATCTGTCCACACAGTGGTCACGGTGGCCTCACAGGACAGTCGCAGTGAAGCCATGGAGTCAGAGGCCCGACGCGAGACAGTGAGGTGGGAGTACAGAGTGAAGAAACAGAAACGATGGCTGTAGATTAGACAGCTAAGGACTTCACCCAGGATCAGACTGAAGCACACGGCACTTTGGCCAAATTAATGATTTGGCGCTCTTTTCACTGCCAGCCTTTCCATGTGTATCCATCCTTCCCACAAGCCACACTGAGCATGAGGGTGGGAGGAGCCCCCCCCCCCC